AGAGACACGATAAAGTGATTTTGCAGCATGACAATGCTCGACCCCATGTTGCGAAAGTAGTCAAGACATACTTGGAAACGTTGAAATGGGAAGTCCTACCCCACCCGCCGTATTCTCCAGACGTTGCTTCCTCTGACTATCACTTGTTTCGATCAATGACACACGGCCTGGCTGACCAGCACTTCCGGACTTATGAAGAAGTAAAAAATTGGATCGATTCGTGGATCGCCTCAAAAGATGACCAGTTCTTTCGACGCAGGATTCGTACGCTGCCCGAAAGATGGGAGAAAGTAGTGGCCAGCGATGGACAATACTTTGAAACATAAATGTATAACCAGTTATTTACAATAAAGCCTCGAATTTCGGAAAAAAAACGGCGGAAGCAAAGTTGTACACCTAATAATAAGATAAATTCTAGTATTAATGACTACCACTAACAAGTACTATTCTAAGTACTATTCTATAAGCACTATTTATGTGAAATATTACTAAATTTGAAATATAAGTAACAAAAATAACTAGTAAATAAGTAAAAAATATTATATTCGTCATATTTTTTAAATAGTACTGCAATATTGCTAAAGTAATATTGCAAATTAATGTCACTGCAATGTCTCTGCAACATTGCACTGCAATATGCAAACTTGCAACGTTGTCGCAATGTTGCTGCAAGTTTTTGTGCTGTATGGGAAGCATTACCGCGTCCTGTGTGCAGGAGCCATTATTCATACTTTTTCACAGTCACACTTCACCGCTGAAACTCAGGGTGCCATTACATGAAGCGCGGAAATGCGGAAGACAAAATCTTACTAGATTTCCGCGTTCCGCGAATTGAATAATTTCTTCCCGTATGTTTAAAAAGCGGAAAAGCGGAAGGCCCAAAACTTTTCTCTATTGTCTCTTCATCCAAGGTACCAAGGTATGAATTCCAAAAAAATATCAGGTCCGAACGTGTTTGAGCACGTCTTAACGGCGGTTAGGTTGAACAACTTGTAATAACTTGTGACAACTTGTGACAATAGATTTTGATACGCTTGTTCCACGACTTTATTTCTCCTTATATTACATGGAGCACAATTTACGCGGAACAGTTTGGTGACAAATAAACATCTGTATTCATTTTTTAAAATTGTATTCACTTAATTTACTGCAATTTTTACTATTATGTTTATCTTTTCAGTTTATCTGTTGAATACAAACATTTTAATTAATAAATATTTAATATTTAGTTAAAAATTAATATTTTATAATACCCCATACCGCTTTTTCATGTAATATTAGGCAATCAAAACAAACGTGGAACGTATAGCGGATCTAGTAAGATTTTGTCTTCCGCATTTCCGCGTTTCCGCGTTTCCGCGCTTCATGTAATGGCATTCTCACCCAGTGAGAAATGACTTATCGATCGACGTCGAAAAGACGTCGAAATCATCAAATCGACATCGATTCGACGTTTTTTCGACGTCTATCGATAAGTCATTTCTCACTGGGTAGGCTTCTCTCTGATTGCACCAAAATTGTACCAAGTTGATCTATTCCTCAGGAAGATGGCAGATGCGTCTTGTGCGTTTCGTGGCGCCATCTAACATACGTTGCATGTAACCTGTATGATATGCAATTTGGTACTAGAGTACGCGATTGTTACTTGCTGTTGCCGTGTTTGGCGATATCAGCGATCTCGTTGAGTCAGTTCCTTTGTTAAAGCGTGTATAATCTGTTCTTAGGAATAATAATTTACATTTAAGATCGCATCAAGATGTCACAAATTTCCATGAAACCGGGGCCTCAGCTGCAAAAGGTCGACCTAACGAGCTTAAATCTCCAACAGCTGACGATGTTAAAACAGCAATTGGATCAGGAGCTTGGGTTATTTCAGGACTCTTTGCACACTTTAAAGATCGCACAGAGCAGATTTCAAGAATCTGGCGCTTGTCTCGAGAAAATTACACCTGCTGCTCAGGGTGAGTCGTACAAATTACATTGTCCGAAATTTACACAGCTTTCTGATATCTCGTGGTAAGTATCTGCTTTGAGGTTAGTGAACGTTATATTCTGACAAATTCATACAAAATTTGTTTATTGAAATATTCTTAACGTTCTTGAAACTTTAGGCATTACTCTTTTAATTAGTAGCATAATTTTGTTTTGCATTGAAGAAAAATAATCATTTTCTTAGATACACCAGGAATCATACACTCAAGAGAGCGTTATTTTAATAAAAGTATCTTTGAATTTTCTTCAAACTCTAGACATTATTCTTTTAACTATTAGTACAACTCTGCATAGTTGTGCATTTTGAAGAAATAGAATCATTTGCTTTGATAGATTGATAGATTGATACATAATTCAAGAATATTACTTTTATGTGTTTCTGATCATAATTAAAAATATAATTATTTTTATATGTTTATAGGCAATGAAATATTAGTACCTTTGACAAGTTCCATGTATGTGACTGGCAAACTAGCAGATGCGAATAATGTACTTGTGGACATCGGTACCGGTTACTACGCAGAGAAAGGTATCGAAGATGCAAAGGACTATTTCAAGAGAAGAGTGGAATATGTCACAGAGCAAATGGAAAAGATTCAGCAGCTTGGAGTGGAGAAGAACAAGATGAGGGAAGCGACGATGGATGTGATGGAAATGAAGATCCATAGTCAAATGCAGAAGGAGAATGCAGAGCGTGCGTGAAGTGTTAGATCTTGAATGGTAATATTTGATTTTGGATACTTTACGTGATGAATACGTATGTTTCGTGTGTTGATGCGCACATTCACGCGCCACCTGCAGAATCCTCGTGAAATTCAACGGCTTTGAGATATGTATGGACATAATTGAATCAGCAGAATAGTAATAAGATGGTATTTTATTTAATGCAATCGAGGCATACACACTTTGTGATATCACCCTGTCGTATCTCATTTATTCGACTTTGTCTATTTAAGAAATCAATACAATGGCTTCTTTTCTTTGTACAGAAATACATGTTCATGCGTTCGTTAATAATAAATTAAGAACGTACTCCGCACTAAACGTTCGTCTTACAACTAACGATCGCTCTTACGTAAAGTCGAGAGAGACAGTACGATTACTCGCTAACGAACTATCCGTTAATTTGCGCTAATCACCTAAAAACGTTCTCTAGAACGAAAATGAGGGGAACGCTGGAAGGAGACACGATAGGTTTCATTGTACTGAAGATCGAAGTAACGAAGGCGAATCGTTTATTCGTATATCATTGAAATAAAATGTCATTTATAAACAATAACAGTGTTCATCTATAATCATGACAGAACACGTTCGCGTCGAACTATAGATGTCGCAGGGGAGGTATCAAAAAATCATCGCCGGAGGATAGAAAAGACGGTACATTGATCTGTCGTCAAATAAGTCGTTTTGGCAGTTTGGCGCGACACTTAGTCGGTCTATTACATAATAATACGACACGTTATTCGGATTACAATGTTCGTCCGCGTCGGCGGACATAGATCGCGTACACGTAGATAAGTCGCTAATTTCTGTGTGTTTTATTTTTTCTTTTATCCTATTTACACGAATAACATACGCTTGGTATTTATTTCAACGAAAGATCTTCCTCTCCTTGCCTGGATGTTCTTCTTTTTCTTCTTTTCTCTTTGTCCCACTTAATAATTTCAAAATTTTACAAACGATTTACTCCCGCTCCGTCTCGATACAATCTTGCGCGTAAAACGTATTGCGGATTCATCGATGTTATCTCAGGCTGCACAACAGCAGTGTAGTTATAGCGCTGATGTAAAAACACTCGGCTGTGCTCTTCGCTGCGTTACCTGCAACGAAAAGATATATATGTATATATATATATATATATATATATATATATATATATATATATATATATATATCGTGTATTAGTAAAGATCGAGATGTGCGTTTTGCGCGTGATTTAAATGAGAAAAGTTTATTGTTATATAATACGCGATGTGCCTCTGTGTACATCTCGATATGGTTTTATCTTATTCACGACACGGTCACAGTGACATCTTATTTTGTCAATGTATTTTATAACTATTTTATAATTATTTTTCGAGGGAAATCGAACTCGAGGAAACTACCAGAAAGAAATTTTGATAGAATAGAAAAGAGAAAGGAGGCAACGCTACCAATGTAGGAGGATTCCCGTGTTCCCAACACAGAAGCTAGCTTTGGACGCTCCTCGGTCAAGAGTACATCGGCCTTTTTCTGATACAGATGAAAGACGTTGGCGTGACAAACGATGTGCAACCTGCCGCTATTGAAGTTATCCTGCATAGTCTCGAAATCCAATCCCGCGACCGTCATCTGTTGCTGATTGTCGCCGACTTTGTCCGTGATGTTCATGATAAAGCTCGAGTTCACCTGCAATGAAAACGCGCGCTGTACAAATTGACATCGGTACTGAGAATCTATCTATCTAGATCCTTGACCTCTCAGCTTTCTCTTTTCAATTTCTGTTTAGGAATACACGAATGCAGGCGCGCAAAACAGCGTTCCACGAATACGCCGAGAGCGAGCGGAACGTTTCTCTCGCAAAATAACGCGAAAGATATTTCACATACAAAGCGTTACGCGTAACTGTCGATCGCTACTCGTTTGTCAATGATCAATGAAACACGGCGGTGATCTGCGTAGCCAGCCTGCCGCACCCTTCGATCACTACGAAACGGAAACGGACGCGTTGAAATGGACGCGATGATTTACGAGTCTCTAAAATCAATTAACTTTCAAGCGATACACGTCGAGACCCACTTTGCTTTACGATGTAACCGTTTCGCAATCCTTTCTCTCTCTCTCTCTCTCTCTCTCTCTCTCTCTCTCTCTCTCTCTCTCTCTCTCTCTCGCGCGCGCGCGCGCGCGCCGTGTCGTACTTCTTGCGAGTGAATTAATAATTTATTCCTGGGAGGACCGTCGTCCGCTCACGAAAGTCCTCCGGTTTTCTCGTTACAGAACCTAATCGTCTAATGGTCGCACGATCCCGCTTCAATTTCCGAAACGCGGACGCAGTTTTGCCGATAGCTCGTTAGGACGAGTGGTCGCATAAAGAATTAATTAACCGGGGAAATGTAGGTAGACAGACCGACAGAATTTGCCTCGACTCTGTCGACGACTCGAGCTCGCGGAAGGCAGGGTAGAGCGCAACGATGGGCAAGGGTAGCAGCACAGCGGGCATTCTTACTACTTCCTGCCACTCGTTGACGCCTCCTGTAGGAGCCGTGAGTGATTTGCCGTGCATTCGGCTATAAGTATAATGTTTATCGGATTCTTAGGACGCTCATAAAAGCGCGCCAGATTACCGGCTGGCCGCACCGGGTGAGAGTTCCGGATTAAACCAAGTCTGTCCGTGTGCCGGGGCCGCGCCGTCGACGCGCAAACCAGAAGGAGAAGAGGATCTTCATAATTTCCTGAATTGCCTCGCTGCTGTGCACGTGTGTACCCGTGCATAACGGGAACGCCGGGAACCGACGAGAACGGCGTTCGCGCCGTGCGATTTTGCCGGATTTTCCCAAACCCTTCTCGGCCGTCTCTCCGTGGCGTCGTCCTCGGGGATTGACCGATGTCGCGTTTCCTGTCGCTTCCGTGATACGAACGTGGCGACTCAATTTCCACGCATCTCGTGCGGCTCTACGGCTAGCGCGGGCTCACGCACAGGAACACGTGCTCGCCGCTCCGTCATTCCTCTTCATGTTCCTCTGGACTGACCGAGCTCCTTCTCTCGTCGGCGAACGATCGAGCGCGACGTTTCGCTTTGCGCTTAATGCGCTCGATCACGTATGAGCAATTTCGTTTAATGGGGCTGTAGGATACTCTCGTTGCTTACCGAGAGCGATTAAATATTTATACGCACGCGAGGTGCAAGAGGAAGGCGAGAGTGTTAAGCTCTCTTTCTCTCGCGATGGTCGGTGCATGCACACACGTTTCGCATTTGGAAAAGTTGTAATTACATTTTAATGGCGTTGTAATTTATATGTTGCATGTATCGACTCGCGCTCATAGGGATCGCGAATCCTCGCGCTGGTAAACCGCTTGCATTACTTTATGCAAAAATTCTTCGGCTACTGGTGAGCGCTTCAAACTATCCAAGATGTCGCCTCGATGTGGATGATATAAAATCGAGAGCATCTTCGCATTGCGATGTTGAGTGGTTACTTAATATCAAAAGATAACGATAATGCTCGCTACATGGATATAAAAAAGAATGGCCTTTGAAGTCAGTTTATTATGCTAATGAAGTTAATGAATCCAGCATTCGAACTCGAAAGCGTCCTTTAATTCGATAACGAACATCGGACTCTTTCCTGTATTTATCAATTCTTTCAAAAGCATTATATTTGTTTTTTTTTTTGTAAAATTTATTTTTGAGTAAAGGACGACTGACCAGCCGTTGAGTAGTACTACTTTATTAAGTTAAGACGTGTCTGGCCCACTCCCAGGTAGCACATACACGTATAGAAACGTTTCTTAAAAGTATCTATAGTTTCAGAACCGTAAAGCACCAATAAGTTTTAACAAGAACCTCTCTGAAACCTTATTTATGAATCGTTTAAAAAACGTTTATAAAACGTTTTAAAATGTTTATAAAACGTTTCTTCAACGATTTTTTTCGCAAAAATAACGTTTCACCTAACGTTTTTTGAGTGGACATTTTTACTCATGAGAAACGTTTCAGAAACGTTATGAAACGTTTTGGAAACGGTTAAGAAAGGTTTGGTTCTAACGTTTATAAAACATTTTTAAAACGTGTGTGTGCTATTTGGGCTGTTTAGTCGCACCACGATTTCGTTTTTTTATATTTTTTTATTAAGAATAAAGGATGTACAAAAAATGTACAGGTCTAGGTGCTAAGCCTATCCGACTCTACCCACGATCTCGATTTCTCGTTCAAAAATATGGCGACTCGTAGCGGAGATTTTTAGAATTAATTTGTCCAGTCAAAAATAACGAGTCTAATAATCTTTTAGACCCCTTATTTATCCGCCAATAGCGTTCGCCCGACGTATGTTTCTCATGAGTTGGCAATACTGACCGAAAACGCGACACAGCAAGTACAACGTATTTCGCGAATCGTCCTGTTCCCGATGGTTCAATTATTGGAAGCCACATATTCAAGGAAAGAAGGAAGGTCCTGTTCCCGCGATTTCGTCGAATGCAAGTTCCATGCCCGGTCATCGTCAGGAGTGCCGAAAATAAGTATCGTGCGTTCGTCGTTTAGCCTGCCGGCAGTTCAGCAGCAAAACGATCGCGATGTAGAGATAACGTTAGTTGTTTCGTGTAAACTTGATGTTGAATGTCGGATGTCTGCAGCCGCTGTCTATACGCAGTTAAAGTATGTACTTTCGGAATGCCAAAAGTAAGTCCCGCACATCCATCGTATGTCGTGTCTGTGTATCGTCACAAGCTAATATTCGGAATGTCACAACAGAACAGCCAGGACACTACCTATCAGTACTAGGATGGCGATATCTGTGTCAGTGTCAGAATAGCAATATCAGTGTTAATGTCAGTGCCAATATAATATCACTGTTAAAGTCCTAAGTGAATATTAAAAATGCCACGATGGAGGAATCAAAAGCTAAGAAGCCAAAATGGAGAATACAAAACAAAGTAAGATAATTGCCTACGTATGTTAAATTTCGTATACTTGCAAACCCGCGCGTTAATTTTTAATCACTTTTATATCTATCGTAAACTATATAAACGACTACAGCAACATTAATGAGTAAATTACACGACAATATGTTACTTTAATTCTAGATTCAGTCCTCGTCACTGAAATATTCAATTGCATTTAGTTGATAATTCTGCATATTTAGTTCAGTCTGTTACACATTTTCGTGACTCACATTTTGGCAATATGTAAAGTCGATACGATTACATGAAAAAAATTTTTTATTTATAAATTCAGACAGATCCATAGTTGAATAATCTGAAAGATCCATAGTTGTATCTTATTCTACTAATTAATCTTAAACATTAAGAAGAACGATTACATTTTAGGCGAATGCACGAAAATTTTAGCTTTCTCACAAGTCATAACTGAAATTTCTACCATATCTAGAATCGGACTTTAGATGATTGTATCGAGCCGAGCTCTTTAGATCGTTCGTCCCTAGTTAGTCAATGCTGCTTATTTGTTTAATTTTCTTGGAAGAAAAACATGCTTCTCGGAAGCGGCAAAAAAAAAACGACTCCGCTCGAGCCACGCGACGCCTAATTCCTCGACTAAAGAGCGATAAACAATCGAGAGAGCACAGTTCCGAAACTAATCTACGATATCTTTCCTTTCAAGTTTTCCAAGAAACTACGGCTAGCACACGGTTGGGAAGCGGATATTTTTGCTTATTTGATTAAAAGAGCAGTCTCTTTTAAAATATAATATGAATGGTAAAACGGCATGCTAAAGTGATATGTTCACATTGACTTTATGAAATATTAGTAATTTATATCTTTACTATGCATAAAGTTAAATTGATGCTCGTATCGCGACGCGTTCTGTAAGTCGATTATTCCCATTTAGACGACGTTACATTTCCGCACGCTTGATGTATTATAAATTTTAGAATTAATAATTCGAAAATGCCCCATATTAATACGAGTTGCAGGGTGACTGATTACAATAGTACAGAAGTCTCTTATAGAAATTTCCATTGTTTACACCTGGTGGC